AGAGCGAGGACAGAACCGGCGTCCAGAGCCGTGGACGATCAGGAAGGTGACCAGCCCATCTCGGTAAACCATGGCATATCAGCTCTATAGAAACACCACGCTGGGGAACAGCCTTCAGGAGAGTCTGGATGAGCTCATACAGGTGCGTGTGGGCTTTAGCGTCTGGGCAGTTGGCTTAATGAAAAGAGAGGTTAGGTATTAAAACAGCTTTGTGGTTTCTGTGTTGGGGTACTTACGGCCAACGTTTGGAAAACTTACTGATTGAAATCAAAAGCTGGTGGTACTCCATTCACGTGGGGAGTTTTTTTAATGTTCTAGACAAAGGAAAATGTTTTTTATGTGAGTGGCATAATCCCCTGTTGCGTGGCCTGGTAAATGAACGGCCAGATTAATCTGGAACACTGTAATCGATTTCCTCCTGGTTGCTTCCAGTGAATATTTATCAGAAGAAATCTTTGTGCAGCACAAAAAAAATCACATTAGCACATCGTTTCTAGAGTTAAAATAGCGAAAAGGAAATAAACACAGGAACGTAATACATTGTAAATTGTTCTTCCAGAGATTGCTTCACATGAACTTTGTTGTGATGGTTTCTGTATTTTTGAGTTTACTTTGAAACAACTCAAAACTTTTTTTTTTTTTTGCCAACTACTTTAGTCACAGCAAATCACACCTCAGCTGGCCCTTCAGGTGCTACTTCAATTTGATAAAGCTATAAATTCGGCACTGGCACAACGAGTCAGGAACAGAGTCAATTTCAGGGTAAGATAACATATAAAGGCTCTTCGCGAGGTACAGTAACTAAGCGTTGATGCAGAACGTCATTAAAAGCTGTGTGCTCTAAGCAAAAACTTAAGAAGGTCCATTTTGACTCTGAAACAATGAGTGTTTATGTCTATATTCTGTGTGCAGTTGTAAGGCTTGCTATCTTCTTATTCTGCCAGGGCTCTTCTGAAGGAATGCAAAAACCAGAAACAGATTCGGTGGGTGGATGAAAACGGGGGAAGAGGGAAATGCTTTGATGGGTAGCATTGCCATCCTCGGTGTCTTGCAGATGAGGAGGGAGACTTTTGCTTCTCTTAGTTGTACCTAGCAGAAGTGAGATGAGGCCAGATTTTCAGCCACATCTATAATGTGAAGAGAGACTAAAGAGTTGTAGATCTACCCTTGTGTAAGTCACTGGATCATTTTGTAGCTATTATCTGTATGTATCATAAAAAAGTAAGTTTGTTTTTTTTCCCAGACAGCCACCCTAATTAATGTCAGATAGCCAGCAAATTGTTGAATGTCAACTTGATTGTAATTTTGAGTGGGGGAAAAAAAACCCACAAAAAACCAAAACAGTTGTCCTGTTAACTTACGTACTAATACTTCTTCTACAGTCTATGCAGAACACTGTTAATGAAGTCAGCTCTTAAGATTTTAAGGTTTTAAACCGTATAGATACATTAAAAAGAGCGTAACTACTTTAACACACTTAACTTGCTTTGTGTATGTAGTATGGTATAGAAAACTTCATGATGTGTTTAGTGGATAAATTTAAAAAATGTTATTTGAAGCTTAAGTTCAAGACTATGGGTTTAAGAAATGTGAAGATGAAGGCCAAAAGGTTTACATATCGTCATCCTCAGTGATACATCAAACTTGAGGGATACCCCTTTCTGTCACATAGGTCAGTTTTGTCACGATTTTTTATTTAAACTATCGCTTTTTTTAAACAATTACAGAATTCGCATCTTGTTATGATCGCTGCCGTAACTGATTTTTCTTATGGCCCGTGATGCAAGAAATCTTTTCTGATAACACATTAGAAAAGTTATAAAACTCAGTGTACCTGTGAAGTTCCCCCTTGGATAGACTATAACGTCACTACATGGTCTTGAAAATTTCAGCCACTGGAGGGCGTTTAAACTACAGTTTTCCTCAGAATTGCTTGCTTGCCAACTTTGTATGCATTCAGGTTCACAGTTGACTTTATGGCAAACTTTAAAGCAAAAACCTTCTAGAAGGTACGTAGTTCAGTAGATAGTAAACATATTTTATGTGACTTTTGGGATGCATCCTATAGAAAATGTCTCTTGTCTTTTTAAAGGGGTCTCTGAATACATACAGGTTCTGTGACAACGTATGGACATTTGTACTGAATGATGTTGAATTTAGGGAGGTCACTGAACTTGTCAAAGTGGATAAAGTGAAAATTGTAGCATGTGATGGAAAAAGTAAGTATGGAATGTGATATAAATAAGCTGAGACACAAGACTTGATCTTTTATAGAAAGCTTTGACCCAATGTCTGATTAAAGCTAGAGTGATTTTATTATTCAGACAAAAGTAGGGCTTTGCACTCCCTTTTACATATAATTAAACAAAAGCAAGCTAAATACTTCCCTAACTCAAGCACGGAAATAGGAATGTGTTAGAGACTGCTGTACACCTGTTGTTGGGAAGTACATACTACTAGAGCATTTAGAAAGTCAGAAGTAATCTTAACTGAATTTCTCTGTGGTGATTTTTCTAGTATTAACCTCCTTGTTAGAACAGCACCATGTTTTATTGAAGTCAAGGAGTGCTTTATCAGTCTGAGCAAGCAGTTATCTGAGAACTGCCTAAGCAATTGTTTGCTGGATTCGATAGTAGGGGACGCAAGCACATGCAAAGCTCATGCTAGCATTTGCAAATCCTGTTACAAGATTTATATATTGCTCAACAGGCCCACTTATGCACACTGCTTATGGGAGTTTATGTTCCATATCTGCTTGACTGGGTTACTTTTTTCAGTGTTCCCTGAAGTTCTTTACAAGGCAAAGTAATTTAGTGACTTCTGTGGCAAGCTGGCTTATACCTTTTAAAACCATCGATGCAGCAGAACATCGCTAAAGATGTGTGAAATGATGCCACTTGTTTCATCCCCGGGCAGTGATGCTAAAATGAAGAACTGAGAATGGAAAAGGCTTTATTTAAATATATCCTAGACCTCTGAAATGGGTTCTTCATGGCTTCCTGATCCTGGCACGATTACAGTAATCACTTCAAGTTGTAGTTCTAAAGAGTTGACAGAATTTATTGTTTGCTCAAGTTCTGGTATTAGCCAAGCGTATAATCTTACTCTGTTTATTTTTTGTGTGCTTATTATAGCTAGTAGAGGAAACCTTGATTTCCAAGTATTACATCGTTTTCGTTCTTAATAAAGTGTCCAGATAAGATTTAAAGAACTGGGTGACTTAAAGTTGCTATTAACATTATGGCCTTTTCCCACAAGAAGGTGACTTGCTAGAGGAACATAGTAAACACTGACTTGTCTTTCTCCATATCCTTCCAACCCAAACTATTCTATGATTCTGTGTATTTTTAACATAGCTCCAAGAACAAGAAAGCAGTAATGATAGCAATACCAGAAATTACACTGGTGTTAATTGGTGCATCTGACAAAAATTCAGAACGGAGAATTGCTCTCGGCTGTTTTATGAAGATCATGCTCATTCTTGCTCTGTTTCAATATGCATAGTAAACTATAGCCCACACTCCATAGGGGCTTATGCTACTGGATGTGCAAACCCCTTTCTCTTCAGTAGATCATGTGATTTAGCCACAAGTGCTTGTGGCTGACTGCAATAATGTGTTTGTGTATCGCGACAAGTTAGAGCAAAGCTGCTTCTATTTTTAATGCCTCAATAGCAAATGACGTGTGCTAGCTGTCTTCAATGTCGGTAACTGAAGTGGAACAGCACAAGCAGTTCATGCATTGCATTGATGGCAGTGGAGGGAACTGGGTAGGTACAGAACATGTTCTAAAATGCTTGAGGAATGCTTTTGAGCTTGCAGAAGGTATTAAGAGAATGGTGTTGGTTCTCTTCAGTTTGTACTCGACTGTAGTGGGGGGTATTTATTACTCACACTTTCTTTTTTCTTTCCTAGACACTGGTTCCAATACTGCAGAATGAATAGAACTGTGGTTTGTCTGCAATATTTTCTGTTAATAATGCAGCACTTTGTGGAGAGAAGCATGGAAAGGGACTGTGTTCGTACTTAATTCTTGTGATGCAGATGGGAGTTACTCCATACTAGAAAGCATCACAGAATGACAGCGGAAGAAATACCTGTAGCATTTCTTCAGTTCACCTTATAGGGCATGAATACAATGTTACTTTTTTTTTTTTTTTAATTACAACAGATACTGTTGCCTTTTTGTTCAAAAGAATTTCTGTAATAAAATATTATTTAAAAACTTGTGAGTGATCATTGGAAAACTTTGTTTAAAAACAATCGTTAATATAATACGTTCTCCTAATATTGCCTAAGTGTGTTCAGAGTAATCTTGCAAGTGCAAAGGTCTTTCAGGTACAGGGTTCTGAGTGTGGTTGCACTGATTAGTATTGCAAGAAATGGCTGTTTCAGAATGATGGAGGAGGACATCAACAAAAGCTTAGCAGCTCATGCTGGCCAGTATATTTGTCTGTTTGTTACTGCATCTTTCTGTCTATAAATTTGTCCGTTTGGTACCCTCTGCTAATAATACACTAACCTAAGTATTAAAGTTATTGTGCAGCTAATAAAATCGAAATAATGAATCTGAGTTTCGTAAGATTATACTACATTCTCAACAAATGTTGATGCTGCTTGTTTTTGTGTTTTTTGTAATCGTTTTTTGTATTTATGTGGAATATATTTAATTGGACACTTGTCCAACAGGATTTCAGTGAAAGAGTTGAGCTATGAATTTTGATATATCAAATTGATAACTTTGTTCTTCCATTAAGTAACTCAAAAAACCCTTAAAATAGTTTCTTCACTAGAAGTATGACAATCAAAGTAATAAAGCTTTAGTGTCTGTTCTAATACCTTTCCAGAGTGATATGTTACAGTTCTCTAAATCCTGCCTTGGGACATGAAAGGATACATGTTTGGGGTTTGGTTAACTTCTGCTTCCCTCACTTTAAGTGAGAAAGGAGTTCACAAACTTGCTTGCTAGACTGTTCAAAGTATTATGTATAACATTAATTTTTTTTCTTGTATCTATGATAAATGTCCTTTGCTGCAAACTGCAGATTGGTAAGTAACATTTTTGAAACGAGAACAGACTATTGCTCTCATTTGAACAGCACAGTAAGTATCTGCGAGGTCATCTTAAAGCATGCTAATGTATATCTCTACTGTGGTTTTCTCATTTTTTACATCAGACTTACCTTCTAGGTTTAAAGATTTTTGTGTTCTTTAATAATGATGTGGTAAACTGAATTTTAGCCCTTATAAGTAGAAAAGTTTGCTGTTCTTGCCTCCAACTCCACAGTCTCTTCCTTGTCTCTGGTCAGGAACTTCTCAATCTCCAGTTCTTTAAGCCTTTGGACTTCCTCCTAATGCGAATAATTAAATACCTGATTTTGTTCCAAGTAAGTGCTTTAGCACATTTACTACAGCATTCTTCCGTTAAAAACAAATTTAATAGAGCAACAGAATTGTAGGGATGATGTGAGGTTATTCTGTGGAATTTATGTTACAGTTCATTGATACTCCTCTATCAGACTTCTCTTGTGTTTCAACAGTTGTATACTACTACATTAGCACCTTAGCTGCTAACTGAAAGGAAAAGAAACATTTAACTGCAAAAGCGAATAATGTAATGAATATATATACACAGAAAAAGTACAAATGAAAGGAGAAGTAATTTTCTTGACAAAGATGTCTGCTACTTGGTAATCGGTGAATTCAAATCAATGAGAGCAGGAACCAGAAATGATTATGTTCATAATTCGAAACAACTTTACTGACTTCTTTTTTAAAGAAGTAGTAGTAGTCCCATTGAAGCTCTAGACTTGGTCCTTTGGAAGGAGAAGGTGATGGGACATTCCCTGTGCTGATGCATAACAGTAATACTTTGAATTGTATACTCAACTGGTAGTTCCTATTCGGCATGAAAAACTGCTATTTGAATATTGCCTTGCCTTGTAAGGAAGCATTTGAAAAGGAAATGGACATTCTGAAATTAATTTAAATGCTCTGTACCCGAGTCTTACTGTAATGAAAAGATGTGCAAGGCTTAAGTGGCACTGATGTTCTTGATTAGCTTGTTATTTAGCCCAAGACACAGATGAAAAATACATGAAATGTTACAGATGCTTCTGAACTCTTTTTAACATTTTTCCTTTTGCTAATAATAAAGTAGTCTTAAAAGAAATGCACAACAGACTTTAAATATTTTAGGAGCAGCTGGAGTTTGAGGACACTGTTCCTGGGCACAGTGATAATGAAGGGGCTGTGTGCCGAGGGAATCCGTGTAATTTAGTCGATGTGAAAGGCTAGAAAGCATGCACAAATGGGGAGTAAGGGAGCGTTTTGGGTGAAACGGCAAACAAATGAGTAGGAACAAGTGGGCAGTTGTAACATACGCTTCTGTAATCTAGACATTCCTTTCCTCTCTCAACCCGAAAGTCTGAGCAGGCCTTTGGTACAAAACAACAGGAAGAGAGAAGTTACCAAACAAAAGCTGCAGGAAAGGCAGGCACACATGTACCCTCAACCTTTTGTACTGCTGCTGCCTGATTAATTACTGGTGGTATTAGAAGCTTTATTTCACATCTGGTTAGTGTTTTAATATCACTGTTCAAAATTTTGTGGTAACCTAAGCTAGCTCTGTTTGGTTATGGCAAATGCAGAAAGCTGTTGTTCTGCAAACCACTTCTTTTCTACTCTCATGGCGGAATCCTTGTGTTCTGTGTACTCAATTTACAAAATAAGTAATTTGTTATAAGTTTGACTACTCAGTGGTCCTAAAATTAGGTTACATACGCATCTTCTGTCTCCCTCATGACAGTGCAGTGTTAGGCAATGGAGGTACCTGGTATTTTTGCATCTGTGGGATGTTTGTAGGACATGGAATTCAAATCTGGATGCATACAGACTACTGAGTTTACCTGGATACACAAAGAATACTTCAACTTTTGTCATTAGTGCTGTTCTTCCCGCTTGTGGTCTGTTGTCCTGAGAGCCAAAGGGCAATCTGTACATAGGCAACAGAGAAGCATTTGGCAGCCTTGTTCCTTGCAAGGTTACGTTAATGTGCAGAAGCTCCAGGTACTGCTTCTTTAGTGTTTATTTGTTCAGTGAATATACTGTTGAAAACTGCAGAAGTTAGTGTTGTTTTTGTGTTTGTGAAGAAACAAACAAATAAGGGTTGCTTTATGGTTTCTAAATTAAACCTCACACAGGTCTGGTGTTCCAACCTTATCTTGCTCTTTTCTGTATTTTGTTTGGAAATACTCTCTGTTCCTAGCTTACCTCTAGCGTCTCTTTTTGTTGTTGTTATTTCTAAACTATCCTTCTTACACTCCACATTCAGCATAAGGTATTTACCCCGTTAACTCTGCCATCTCTATAGAAAACAGCTCTTGAGGCATAATGAGGTGTAAATAATTCTTGGAAATAACCTTTTTGATGTCTAGAATTGCTCCAGTGATGCCGCAGGGAGTATCTACCTGTTGGATGAAGACTGCTGCCTGCTTACTGCAGAAGAGAAGCTTGCCTATGACTCTGGAGGAATTAATTCCTGCAAACCTCACAGCTGTCAACACAATCTCTGACACTAGCACGTGTTCTTTTTGGCTAACCATGTTTCTGGAATGGTGTGTGTTTGCTGGATCAGTTGTTTCAGTTCACTGAAGGAGAGGGGAGCACATAAGGGGACCTGGTGCCAATATTCTTCCTGCTTTTTATTGCTTTAATCTCCCTAACTTTCTTGCCACTTGCTATTTTTTGTGTTTGAATTTCAGCTAATCCCTCCATGTTCATATGATTAAAGTGCTGTGTGGTTTTGGAAGATTTGTTGAACTTACACCTAAAAGTGTTAACTGCACTTTTGTTATACTAAGCTATTTTAATATCCAGCAGAAGAGAAACCATCTCACTTTCTACAGCATCAGCATACTTGCTGCTGCCTGTTTGGTTCTTCCTTGCCTGTAGTGTTATAGACTGATTAATTTATTTGGGGTTTTTTTTGTTGATTTTCTCCAGAAAGGTCACAATTGCTTCCACCTGTCAGTAACAGAGAGAAAGTAAAGGATACCTTTGCACCTTGACCTTGAGCTGGAATGGATGTTCCCATTTAGAAAGTAAATTAACTAAAAAAAGTGAAGGAAAGAATAAACACCAATACAGAAGCGGCTGTGGGTGACTGCCTGTATTTAAATACGGCTTCTGAGGAAAAGGATTTTTGTGAGTTCCGTAAGTGTGCAAACCAGGATGTTATTTGAGGTAAGCTGTTTGCTCAGTCAGGGATGTCAGTACCTGACTTTAAATGTTTTCAGAGAGACACACATTAAAGGCAGGTGCAGAACAGGAAGAATTTCTGACAAATTCCCACAAGACCAATTTAATTAGGATCATTATGTACTTTTACACAATGACTGGGTACAATGATGTAGATCAGAGTTACTCAAAACAGAGATACCTGCTTTTAAGGATCTTAAGCAGCTTAAGAGGTGGTATTTCAGTTAAGCTACTAGTGGGTTGCTTTTGCTTTTCTGTACTCTAAAAGTTCCGGGGGGGCTAGGGGGGGAGAAAAATAGGAGCGTGGTAGAAAGCATTTTAACTTTAATAAGACTACTGGGAGCTGTGGACTTTTCCTTCACTGTAACGTAAAGGGAATCTTTGTCAGGAAAACAGCTTTGCTCGAAGATAAATTTACTATATAAACTAGCCATTAAGGCTTAGTGGGTAGTAAGTCACAGATATATTAATATTTTGGTTTTCACCTTGTGCTGAAAGAGCCTGCACCCTCCAAGGAAGTGGAAAATAGTTCACCGAGAGTCTAGTTAGTGTTTCGTGGTCACTGCTGTTGCAGTCAGAAGAAAAAGGACCCCCTAACCCTTTTCCCTGAATCAATTTTACTCATGACTGCAAATACTTCCTGATACTTTGTTCCTATAGGTCATGTTTGCTTCTAGTTTGTTCAGAATTTATTACCGGGTTTCCTCTGAATTTATTTCAGTTGACCTATCTCTTTATTATAGAACATTTCAGATCATATAAGGTATGAAAGAAATGCAAGGCAAGAAAGAAATAGACCCTCCTAATTAGAGTTAAGAAGAGCTGTTCATGGACCTGCTGTGTAAATATGTATTATGCTAGTTTCAGCTCGCATTAGATTTTTCTTGTAAAAACAATGTGCAAACCACTTTGGCAATAAAATATAATTTAAAGCCAGGTGAGTTTAAAAATATCTGTTGCTAGATTTCA